TGATTGAGGACGCCGAGAGCAAGCCAGAGCCGGCACACAAGGACCACGCGCCGCCCAACGGCACCGCGCTGGAGCCGGCGGGCGCCCAGCCCCTGGGGGAGGAGGGCGTGGGCGGGCAGAAGCCAGGTGCCAATGCCACAGATGCCAAGGAGGCCGAGCAGGAGACAGACGTGAAGAAGCAGCGCTGCAAGTGCTGCACGGTGATGTGAGCCCCGCTGGCCCCCGCTGCCACCGGGACAGGCTGCCCCCGCCGAGCCCTCTCTGCCCCGGCCCCTGCTAGCCAGGCCCGCCATCCCGGCACGCCGGGCTTCCCCCACACTGGACACGGACCCTCTTTCTGCAGAACCGGGGAGATCCAACACGGTGCCCAGGGGGCCGCAGCGGGCAGCAGCAAATGGTGGCCGTGGCAACGCTCGCCCCATCTGCCCAACGCCTGCCCCGCGCTGCCCCCCACCAGTGCTGCCTGTGGTATTTATTAGAGACCCCCTAACCCCACGGTGCACTCACCCCACCACAGCCCAGCCTCAACCCCACTGGAGCCCTCCTGCCGCCAACACCAGAGCCTTTTCCCTCTTTCACCAACACTGTCCCACCCACCGTCGGAGGACGGAGCCGTCGGGCAGGGGATCGGAGGACGCCGCTGCATCCGTAGATGACTCCCTGGGAGCCGGCACCAGCGGGACCCACACTTGGCCCAGCCCATGGTGGGCATTGGACCCAGCCCCATGCCAGGCCCTCTCTCTGTGCCTCCCTCATCTGCATCACCAGTGGGGAAAGGCCTGGGTCTGTTCCCCTCTGGCTGCCCATGGACATCTCCGCTCCATCCCGTGTCCTTGTCCCCATGTCCCTGGGCTCCCCAAGCCATGAGCCCCTCGGGGACCGAGCGTGTCCAGGCGAGGGAAGAGCATTAAGGGCAGTGTCTCCTCCATGATGCTCAGCTGTGGTCATGGGCAGGGCCACGCACAGCTCCTCCAGGATCACCCCAGCCTGTGCTCAGAGCTGTGGGCAGGGGACCCTGCTCTGCTCCCCCAGGCTCATCTCACTGTGTGGAAGCCCCTCACCCTGGTGCTGGCATTGATGGCCATTCCTCCAACTCGGCTGCTGGCTGGCACCGCTGGGCTCTGCCAGCCCCCGGGGCTGAGCTGTGCTGTGGCCAGTGCCCGTGTCCCCCTGGGGCAATGGCAGCGAGGGGGGCCCAGCCTCGTGGGGACAGGAATGGGGTGGGTGTGCCCACCCCACCCACTTCCTCATAGCTGCAGGAGTGTGGCCCAGCATCCTGTTCCCTTCCTGCCTCTGCAGCTCAGCTGTGGCAGCTTTGCAGAGCCACCTTCTGGGGGTCCAGGCTGCAGCACCAGGTCCCGCAGGGGAGCAGGGCAGCCCAGTTCACCCCAGCACTGGCACTGGGAGCTGTCAGGGGTCCGGTGTCCCACGAAGGGCAGTCTCCCTGCTCCCCCACCCCACGCCCCAGCCCTTCAGTGGGGATTTCACCACCAGCACCAGCGTTTCCTCCCCCCTGAGACCCACTGGGGCAGGCGAGGGAGCGCCCGCCGGGGCAGTGCCTGGGCCCTGTGCCCAGGGGCACTTGCCCAGGAGCTTTGGGCAGGGTGCAGCCACCAGCCAGCACAGGAGTCCTTGTGTGAGCGTGAGAGGGTCCCCGTTGCTGTGAGGCCGGGCAAGTCCCCAGGGATCCCCCAAAGCACGTGTGGAGCTGCCCCCACACTGCCCAGCCCACTGGGACACCAGTGATAGAGCAGCCAGGGATGGGGCTCGGCCACCCAAGGCCTTCCTTCCCCCACACTCCCCTTATGTGAGCAGTGACCCCCCCATGACATCCCAGTTGTCACCCCAGTTACCATCCAGGCTGCAGTTTTCCCCCAGTGGAGTCACTGCAGGGCTGGGGACTGCGGGGGTCTTGCAGTGCCACCTGAGCCCTGTCTGGGCACCCACAGCCTCTGGGAGAGGCAGAGCTGAGGGAGGGAGGGGTTTCCCCAGCAGGGGAAGGGGGGCCTCTCCTGCCCCTCCTGCTGAGGGCATCCCTGGAGCCCCGTTGCTGCAGGGCGGGGCAGGGGGCTCAGTGCCACAGGGCATCTCCCCCACAATCCTGGGGGGAATGTCATCTCTTGCCACCCCACACCAGGGGCCAGCACCACTCACCCCATCCCACTCTGGGCCCTGCAATCCTCCCGACCCCAGGCTGGGACTCCCTCCCACTCTCAGCACCCTCCGCCTCTCAATTGGCTTTGACCCCCAGCCCAGTCTGGCGCCCAGTCTGGCAGCGGGGAGTGGGACCAGGCCCCGGGCCGGGGCTGGGGCATGAGAGGAGCAGGCAGTGGGCCCAACATCACCCCTGCCCCGTCCCGCAGCCCCCCCCCGCTGAAGTGCACTTCCCGCACCCCTGAGCTTTTCACTTGTGCCGAAGCTGTTTGAATCCCACCCCCACTCCCACCCCCCGTTGTTTGTAAAACACCTGAACCGAGCAAATAAACTGTGTGAACAACCATCCTGCAGCCACCGACGGGTGGGAGGGGGCTGGGCTGGGGCTGGGCATCCTGGGGATGGGAGGAGGAGGATGGAAGGTTAGGGACAGGGATGTTGGGGATGGGCCCTGCTGCCCCTTCGCTGTATGGGCAGGGGAAGTGGGGAGGAAGAGGGATGTGGGAACAGGGATGCTGGGAGGAAAGGGATGCGGGGTGATGCTCTGGGCCTGCCCAGGTAAAGAGGACGTGGCAGCCCAGTTACCTGGTTGTCCCGAGGGACAGTGGTGGGGTCAGGACCTCCCGGGCCCTGACGAGGCCTGTCTGTGTGCACATGGCCATGGGTCTCTGCACATCCCCATGCTGGTGTGATTGCTGCTGCCCAAGGCTTGGATTCCAGGGCTCTTTCCTGGAGCAGCTGGGCCCTGACCCTGCCCGGTGCCAGCCCAGGTGCCAGCACACGCCCTGCGGCAGGCGGGGAGCGCTCCTGGTTCCCTGGCATCACCTGTGGACTTTGGCTCAGCCCTGCGGTAAAACAGGCTCCACTCACCTGCCCGGAAACGCAGAACAGCCCGGCAGGCACACGGCACCGGCGTCCCCAGGCCAGGCAGCGCCAGCCCCGAGCGGGAACAGGGGCACCAAGGGGCTGGGCAAGGGTAAGTGGGACCCCCCAGCACCTGCAGCTGGGGTGAGCCGGGGCCAGGCACCAGCGCCGTGCTTGGGCAGCAGCAGGGCCGGGAGGGGCTTCCTGGCAGGAGTGGGCTCCAGTGCAGGGCAGAGGGGGTGAGGACAGGGACCTCCCGCCCCAGCCACCGGCACAGGGAAGGGCTGAACATCCCAGCACAGCATCACCTGCTCAGCTGTGATGCCCCATGCCAGGAGGGAGGGTGGCTCTGGGCACTGGCAGTGCTGCCCACTCCGCTGGGATCCAGCAGCTGTGGCCACGGGCACCAAGGGCACCACGGTCACTGTGCCACTCTCCTGCTCTTGTCCTGGCAGGTGCCTGAGGTTTCCAGACCAGGTTTCCCAAGTGCAGGGCTCGTGTCCAGAGGGAAGGAGGGAGCTGCTCTGCTGCAAGGGGCTGGGGCTGGCAGTGCCGGGGCTGGCAGTGCCGGGGCTGCCGCGGCGGCGAGAGCACCCGCCTGCGCAAACACGGGGTTATCGGTGACCGCAGGGAGGCCCCGCGGTGTGACAGGAGAGCCCAGGCTGCTCCCGGCGTGGCTGCTCCCGGCGTGGCTGCTCCCAGCGTGGCTGCTCCCAGCACGTGCACTCAGGTCCCTCTGCTGCATCCCCCAGGGCTAATGGCTGCCCTGGGGCACACGGTGGGAGGAGAGCTGGACATCCAGGCCCTCCCTGCAGCTTCAGGGCTTCTCAGTGCCATAGCTGTGTCCACGGAGAGGCAGGAAGCACCTGGAAGAAGGTCTGGGGGTGCATTGCCACACCGCTGCACCTCTGCACTGGTGCATCGAGGCACAGGTGTGTTGGCACGTTGGTGCATTGGCACATGGGTGTGTTGGCACATTGGTCCACTGGTGCATCAGTGCATGCTGCAGATCAGAGCCAAGGGCAGCCTCCTGGGCATGGGACCAGCTGCAGTGGGGTAATGGAGGCACAGGGAGATCGGGGACAGAGCACTGAGCCCAACATGGTTCTTGGAATTCCCCCACAGACTCGTGCTGAGCTTATCAGGGCCCTGCAGCCACGCCACCCGTGGCCCCCCCGCCCCCCACTGCTGCCACCCCGGCCACTCCCCAGCAGACACGGCTCAGCTGGGTGCCCTGTGTGGCCTCCTCGGGGCATGGGGACCCCCGCCCCGACGGCTTCCTGGACAGTAAGTGCAGCGTGGTCGGGGGTGAGGGCAGTGCCAGGTGCTGGGGGGCCGCCGTGTCCCCCAGCCTCGGAGGGACCGGTGCCCACCCAGGGACGGTGGCAGCGAGGGTGTGCAGGCAGGGCTGGTGCGGCCTGTGGGCGGGCGGAGGGACGCTGGCCACACGCCTCGCACGTCGGTCGGTCTGGGAGTGCTCGCAGCCACCGGCACAGGGCGGGAACAGGCCCTGCAGCTCTGCAGCCCTGCGCAGAACCCCTGGCACAGGCAGGCCCTGGAAAGCGCCCCAGATGTCTCCTTGCAGTGGGGGGGCCCAGGCCAGACTGGCGGGTGCTGCAATGCCACCTGCTCTGGCCAGCACCTCTCGTGGTGCTTGGCTGGGCTGGGGGCAGCCTGGCCCAGGGGGGATGACCAGGACCCCTGAACCCCGACCGTCCCTCAGCGCCGGACAGAGCTGAGCCAGGTGGATGGATTTGGGCGCAGCTCTGGGAGGGGCCGTTCCGCTCGAGTGGAGCAGCCCTGATAAGAGCCCAGCTGGCTTCCTCCTCCCTGCTCCCCTCCTGTGCCAGCTGCCAGCGCTCCCCGGGGGGGTGTCCCCTTCCAGCCAGGACCTCGACCACCCCAAACACGGTAAGATGTGTGGTCAGGTGGTTTTCACTATCCAGGTCACCGGGGGAAATGAAAGACTGAATCACAGGTAGGGGAATTACAGGGAAATTCAGTAGAGCACAGCTGCAGGGGAGAGGCTGAGCCACCGGGGCTGGGCATGGGCAGCCAGGACATCCCAGGTGCCACTGATGAGATCCAGGAAAGGCCTAAACAGCTCCTGACTGGAGCCCAACCCCACTTGCCCTGTGGGAGGACGCTGCATCCTAGGAGGGTTGGAGGTGAGCAGGGGAAGCTCAGTCACCAGTGTTGCTGCAGGAAGGAGCCATATCCAGAGTGCTCTCATCCTGGGGATGAGCTGGGATGCTCCAGATACGGGGAGCACCAGGCATCTGCCTCTGTCCTGGGGAGCCTCACCCTGAGCTGTGCTTGCAAGTACCACAGCAGCTCTGGGCTGGCCCTGGCATCACCGTGGGCTTGCTCCCATTTTGCCTCATGCTCCCAGCAGGCCGTGAGATCTCCAGAGCGGTGCCCGGCAGTGACACACCCTGACCTGCTGGGGCTCACGGAGCCCAGCCAGGAGTGGTGACGGGTGACAGCAAGGCTGCGGCTAAGCCTCGGCAAACAGCGGGACAGGATGTGCTGCTGGCTCTGGGCACGCCCGGCTTGTCCGTGGGTGACGTTGGTGTCCCCGGCGCTGGGGCCGGGATGGCATCTGAGGTGCGGTGAGAGCTGCTGCCTCATGGGGACCCACCTGTGCTGCCCCTCCCTGCCTGGCACCCGCTGTCCCAGTCGGCTCTGGCCCAGCCAGCGCTGGAGCATCAACCTCAAGGTCAGGGCCGTTCACTCCCGCCCTGCATGCCAGGGGGGTTAAAGTCCCCTCGTTTTATGAGCCATGAAACCACTTTTATGACCCAGTTGTTTCTACAGCTCGGCTGCTTGGAGGCTCCTTCCTGTAAATGCACGAGGAGATATTCCAGGCAGGGGTGGCCTCAGTGCCTCTATTGCCACCTCTCCCTGCTGGTGCCGCCAGGGGCTGGAGGTGCCTCCCTGCCCCGTGCATGTGGAGAGGCCCAGGGCGATGCCCAGCCGGGCCGTGGCTGTGGTCTCGCTGCCACTGGTGGTGCCGTGAACCTGCGGCAGGTTTGGCTGTGCACCCTTGGAACGTGCCCAGGCTGGGGGACAGAGGTCGGAGGGGGATCTGGGCTCTGTGGCAATTCCTACTGGGAACGGTGCTTTGTGCTCTGCCTGCTCCTGCCCCAGACGGGGCAGGTTGGTGTCTGTCCCCAGCAAGGACAGTGGTACCAGGCTGGAAGAGGGGCTGTGCCCTGACCTCCGCTCCTCCTGTTGCTCTAAACGGCTGCTCTCCCCTCCTGCTTGCAGGGACAGCCAGGTCCGGCCCCTTGGCCTCTGCTGAGCCAGAAGCTCGTGGGTGACCTTGAAGCTGAGCAGCGGCCCCGGTCCGAAGACAGGTTGGCAGAGGGGTGGCTCTTCCCAGGAGATGGACAGAGTCACCAGACATCTGGTGTTCCAGCTCCCACAGGCCTCGCACAGGCCTGACTCCAGCGATGGGCACCAGACCGGCTCGCTGGCAGAGCTGAGGGCTGACAGTGACGACGATGTGTTTGGCTCCACTCAACACAGCACCCAGAGGGTAGAAAATGGCTATGGTTGGAAGAGGAGGTCCCAGTCACCCTCATATTTCCTGGAGGGTGGAAAAGATGTCTGGACCCCGTCCCCGGACAGAGAGTCCAAGCTGGAGGTGGTGAAGTCGGGAAGCCTGTACGACCTCAGGGCTTACAGGGGCGAGAGGAAACCCTCGAAGCTCTATGATGAGGAGGAACAGGACGTGTACAGGGTCCCTCCACCCAACATCTCACCCGAGAAAGCCAGGGAGCTTGAGGACGAGAGGAGGGAGGTCATCCGGAGCCAGGTGATGAGGAAGAGCTCCACCATTGCCGAGAGGTGGAGCTCCATGGATGAGCTGAGCTCCATCAGCACTGGCATGGGCAGCCAGGGTGAAGGCAGGCATGCAGGCAGTGTCACCACCAGCTTTGCCATCAGCTTTGACAAACCTTCCCCAGGCAGGGCTGCGACACCTGTGGACCCTGACAATATCGACACAGAGCAGATCAACTTCTCCGCGGCTCGGCAGCAGTTTCTGATGCTAGAGAAGACCAGCCCAGGCTCTTTTTTCAGCCCAGGGCAGCAGGCCATATCCCCTAAGCCAGAGTCAGTGACAAAAGTCTCCAGGGAAGAGTGGCATAGCCCTGAGATGGCCACGAAGGCTGTGAGAGGTTATGGTAGTGCCGGTGCATCAAGCCAGAGCAGGAGGGACAAGAGCGTTTACCAGGTTTACAATGTGTCCTACAAGACACCCGAGAAGGAGGAGGTTTATAGTCCCAGAAAAGCTCACATTGAAAGGTCGTATCCCATTGTGAAAATGTCCAGCCTGACCAAAGCACTGTCCAGAGAGGACCTGGACTCCGGCTTGGGTGAGATGTATAACGAAGCCAACACAGGCTACGGCAGTGATGGAAGTGCCTCCAATGAGACCTTCAGCGGCCTCGTGGATCTGAGGGCTGGCAGCAACGGGCTGGGCAAGGAGACGAAGGTCAGCAGTGAGACGCCCATCGAGCGGGAGATCCGCATGGCGATGGAGAGGGAGGAGAACCTCTGGAAAGAGAGGGGTATCCAGCGGCTGACCTCCAGCAGCGAGCTGGTGGAGATCCAGACCAAGCCTGTCCTCGCCCTTCATGGCTCTCCCGGCCCAGGCAGGAAAGGGAAGGACAGAGGCCGTGCTTCCCTTTACGTCCAGAGGGAAATTGAGCAGGAAACCAAGCGAGAGGAAGATCTGAAGAGGCAAGGGAGGCTTCTGGGGGCGTATGACAGGGGGACGCATCAGGAGCTGGACGAGCGCAGGAGGGTGTTTGAGCAGGAGGAAGCCCCCCCGCAGAAGTCCACGGCCCCAAGGCAGGCAGAGGAGCGGAGGAGCTGGGTTAAGGACTTTGTGGCGGAGCAGCCCTCAAGCCCCAGCCCCACGGAAGACACCAGGGGCAGGAGAAGCAGTCCCAGCTACACAGCGAGCATCGCGCACTTCCAGCTGTCCCAGCCGCGCTTCACCGTCAGCGAGAGGAGCCGGGAGAAGCCCTCGGTGTCCCAGCACGCTTCCGCCAGTGCCAGCAAATGGGGGAGCAAGGATTCCTGGGGAGGGAAGCTTCCCGGCTCCACCCCAAGCCCCACCGGCACTGCTGTCCTGCCCAGAGAGTACTTCTCCCTCTCCTTCTGGAAACCGAAGGTCTCCTTTGCGGAGGACATGGGGACGCAGAGCCCGCTGCGGAGGGAGGACGGCCGGGAGGAGCAGTACCGGCTGCGGACCTGGAAGCCCCAGACGTCTGCACTGATTGAGGAGGAGATCCGGAGCGACCTGCAGAGGGAAGAGGAGCTGCAGGAGCAGCGGCGGCGGCTGATGAACAACTACAGAGACAGTGTTCCCCAGGAGGGCTCCCGCTCTCGGCACAGCTCCGGTAAGGGAGGAGAGGGGCAGAGTGGTAGAGCAACGATCTTGTGGGATGCCCATAAGGGCTCCTGTGCGCTGGTAGCAAGTTGTCCCAGGAGAACTTGATACCAACACACTGGAGTCAGCAGGAGAACTGCTGCTGAGGAGGAATAGGCTCTGCAGGAGCAGCATGGCTTCTGATTCGAGCTGCTCAGGGCTTGATGACTTTGTGTCACATTACAGCAGCAAACAGGGCTGGAAGGGCCCAGCTCATGCACTTCCCCTCCTAGCTCCTGCAGTCCCTGGCTGGGGCCCAGACACAGGGCCCCAGCTGTGACCAAATCTGCCAGACCTGCTGCAGACGTGGGTCTGGGGCAGGGGCCTGGCTCTCCAGAGGGTCTCCAGCCCCCGGGAGCGGTCCTGGAGTGCCTCACACCCCAATTCTTTCTTGCAAAGCTGCTTCAGGTGCCAGTGGCAGCTACTCGGTGTCTGGGTCTCCTGTCTCCACTCCTGCCTCACACCAGACGGGGATCCTGGGGCTGATGTCGTCCTTCACCCCACTGAGAGTGGCCAGTTCCTCCCAGGGCAGCACGGAGACCCCCACCCCGGACTCGTCACGTTCCAGCCCCTGCGAAGAGAGGAGGAGGAGGGTGAAGGAGGATGGAAAGGTGAATGTGCCTACCCTGCCCTTTCTGGGCAGCATGTGGTTGTGGGGCTGGAGCCCAGGAGAAGACTGGTGGCTCTGGAGCTGGAGGTGGCTGTTCTGGCTCCCACCTGGAGCTGGAGGTCCAGCTGTTTGGCTTGGTGGGAGACCCAGTGGTAGTGGCACCAGTGAGGGGCCGTGTGAGCTCCCCAGGGCTGCACGTGCTGTTCAGGGCTGCCAGCACTGGGTGGGACTGGAGAGGAGCAGCAGCTTCCTCCTGGGGGGAACCTGGACTGAACCGTTCCCTCACCCCGGGGAGGGCACGACTGCGTGTGCCTCCCCTCCTCTGACCACCCCGGAGGCTGGATCCAGCCACCTCTGGATATTCCCCTGCCAGGCTGCCATTATCTGATCCTGTCTTCCCCTTTCCACAGTATGCAGGCATAGAACCCATCGACAAGGTCAACACAGAGGTAAAGTCCTTCAGGAAGGGGGGGGCTCTGCTCACGCTGCCCTGACACCCCATTCCCCCCCACTCCCCTTGGGTGGGCACTGCACTGAGCAGAGCGGGCTGGGGGGCTGGCAGGGGGCAGCTCTGCAAAACAGATTGATTATAAAAATCCCTTCTTTACAAAGATCCTGCGCGTTCTGGTCTCTGCAGGTGGTGGAGAGCACCCGAGTGACCCGTCACAAGAGCGCCATGGCCCAGCGCTGGGAGGCCGGGCAGTACGTCCGCGACGAGGACTGAGGGACCCTGGGCCGGGGCTCACCCTGTTTGGGATCGACTGACTCGTGACCAAAATGCCCAATCAGTTCCACCCCTGGCCACTGCAACAACTGGAGACATGTACCCTGCAAATCAATCTGGTTTTTTGTCACTGATAATCCTTCCATGCAATAGATCTGCTCCTTCCTCCCCCTCCCTGTGGGGGAACACTTTTTTTTATTTTCTTAAGAGGGGAAAAGTTGGATCAGTAATTTTTAATCACTTCCACCTGGAGTCAGCCAGGTGAAATCATCCGGTAATTCACTTTGCCCCTTGGGAACTGTGTCTCTGGCTTACAAAAAAGCTGTTTTATTTCTCAGTGATTTCAGGTTTTTAGGTCCCACGAGGCCGGACATCGCCTCAGGGATACCTGGACTGAGGCCTCTGGATCAGCATTGCCATGAGACTGGGGAATCAACACTGGCTTAACTCCTGTGATCCATGGAGACACAGCAATTGAATATAAATATATATATAAATGCTGTTTATTTTGCTAATTTATTAAAGAGTTGTTGCTCTCTTGTTCTTCCCAGCCTGTTCTGTCCACCTGCTCTGCTGGTTCTGCACTGGTGTTTTGGAAGAGACCCACGGTTGGGATGTGGGGCTGGGGCTGCTGGGAGCTGTGGCTGGGGGGCCCAATGGCTGCTGGGCTCGGGGAGCACCAGGGTCCCACTGGCTGGACCTGGGAGCACCCAGGGCTGGGGGAAGGGGTCCCGGCCTGGGGTGGGGATGGCACTGGGGGTTGGCATCGAGGGGGCTTTAAGGTCCTGTCTGACCCCAACCACACTGAAATGTCTGTGCCTGGCTGCCCCTGCTAGGAGGGTCCCTGCACAGACCCCACTGGGACTCCAGCCCCACTCTGTGGGTGCTGACTGGGGGAGTTTCCTGGTGGAGCCCCAGGGAGCTGGAGGGGCCCAGGTGCTGTGACAGGTTGGAGGGGGTTGATTGTGCCACCGGGTATTTTTGGCAGGTGTGGGCCAAACTGATCAGCACAGGGGAGGAAAAAGCCAGACCAGTGGTGGTCTCAGAGCTGAGAGAAGCCTGGCCCCAAGGGGTGCAGAGCTGTGCCCACGGCTGGGTCACCTGGGCACTGGTGGGCCCTTTGGGATGGCTGTGCCATCGTGGGGCCTTTGTGATGCCCTCAGGGCTCAGCAGCATTAGGGGAACAGGCAGACGCCCTCCAGCACTTTGGACAAACTGAGTTTGTCTTTTTTTATGTCTCTTCAAACATCCCTAAGTTATCTGCTGGTGTGAAATTCCTCAAACAGGACCGATTCTGGCAAAGGGCTTGGCCCCCAAGGCCTTGTTCAGAAACCATAGAGGTGGCTGGTAGGGCTTCAAAGGGCCCAAACTCCCCCTAGGAGAGCTTTGCACCACCAGGCCAGGAGCAAGAGACACCGCAGGGAACAACATGGAACATGCTGGTGTTCCAGGGACACTGCAGGGAACAACGTGGAACACGCTGGTGTTCAGGGAGCCACCACCTGCTGTTCAGGGCACCTGCTGCAACCTGGCAGAACAGACAGACAGGACTGAGCTAAAGGTTCTTTTATTTGGTTCTGTCAACAATGCAACCAACAACGTGACTGGAATGTAACAGGCACTGAACAGCCCTGAGCAGAGCTCGGCACATCTCCCAGGGCCTTTGGGGAGCTGCATTTTGCACTCCAGGGAAACCACTTACCATAAAACCTTTCAACACTGTCAGACACTTTAAATAACTTCTTAAAACTTCTTAAAACAACTTCTGCAATCTATGAATCTTTCACTAAGGGAAATGACCTGAACCTTGTTGGAAGCAATGCCATGAGATGGGGATCAGCAACGTCGTCGTTCTCCTCGTGTTGCTCATCCTTCCCTGCAGGCCTGTGCCCCGGGCTGAGCTGTGTCAGCCCCCAAAACGAAGGTGCAGTTGACACTCCTGGCTGGGCTGTGCCACCCTCAAGACCTCTATGTCAGCACTGGTGGTTTCTCATGGCACTGACTGTACAGTAGAACATTAACTCATTTTGCAAACGTGAAACCGAAAATTCTCATTAACTCACTGAATTATCAATTCCAATAACAGAAAGAACAACAGAGGAATTTACCTTGAAGCTGAGGCGCTGCAGATGTGTAGTGCCTGCAGTGCCAAGGCAAAGACCAGCAGAAGGATGTTTGCTCTCAGCCTACACCAAATATCACGACAGGATTCTGTTTCAGAGGAGCCTTGGAGTGGTTTAAGGGGGAAAGCTGAGGGGACACCTCTATTGCCTGGGCTTCCTTACGGCTCCTCTGATTTGCTGGGTAATAACTTTCAAGATCTTTTCCATTTTGGCTCTTGTCAGTGGCTTGCTGAAGTACCACACCTCATCCCAGCTGGAGCACTGTGACCTGGGAGCCAGGTAAAGTGCATCGTTGTCCTTCAGGCTGTCCGGTGGCCTCCTCCTGGCGTACTCCTTGTAACTGGTGACTGGACAGTTCTCTGGATCAGCAGGCTTGGCAAAGAGCCGTGGGCTTGACTCCCCTTTGTTTCCTTCTGGGCTCAGATCATCCTTCCACTCCAAGTACTCCACCTCTCCCTCACTCTTCCTCAGCACCAGCTGTCCCCAGTAGAGGTGGTGGCTCTGGCGGTGGGTGCTTGCCCCAAACCCCCTAACAATGCTGGTGAACATGAGGTGCAGAAAGCCCTGAGGGTCCATCCTGTTTAAAATTCCCTTCTTACGAAGGTTTTCCACATCTTCATCTGTCAGGTTCTCCAAAATACTCCACTGTTCCTCCCTCTTCTTTTGGAACAGGCACTGATACTTTAGTTTCCAAGCTTCCTGAGAGGCCCTGAACTCCAGCCCTCTCACCACGTTGTACTGGTAGCTGTGCTCCTTGAGGTACCGCTCGATGTTGCGCTGCAAGAAGCCAAAGGAATGGGCAGAAAAATCCGTGCCATCCTGTCTCTTGGTGGAGCTGAAGAATGAGACCAGGTAGCGGTCGAGGTCTTCAGGTGGCAGCGTGTGGATCTCACGTGTCTCAGAGGGGTGGTGCAACATCAGCCAGTCTTTGAACACCTTTATATCACTAGTGGGACAGTTTTTCTTTTTCTCCTGCTTCTGCAGAACACCTGAAAGTTAAGACACAGCTTGGTAGACAGCGAGAATTCACAAAGATCAGTAAAACACGAGGAGATGCAGGATGGTGTCCACCTCCCTTCTGAAAGCCATTCGGGGGCCAGGATCTCTCAAACCCCCTCCCCTAGAGCTGTGGATCAGTTTTGTGTTCTCCACAACCAGCAGCACCTGACAGCACCCACCTCTCCAGGGAGGGCTGGGCTCCTTCCTGCTCCCTCTCTGTTGGCTGCTGGCCCTCCTCGCCGCCAGACAGGGAGATTTCCCTGTCATCATGAAATAAAAGCATGAACCAAAAGTTGAGGAGGATGGTGAGGGAAAACAAACAGGTGAGTAAACGTGTATTATTATTTTGTTTAAAGGATTGCCAGGATTCCAGTTGGGCTCTCTCTTAAGTTGCCATGGCAATACCACATCTACCTAGTTCAATGTAGCGTGAGAAATTAATTCTTTGGATTGATGGAAAGCTCCATCTGCTTGCCTGTGACTTGTCCAGGACTGAGGAGGGGGAGATGGGAAAGGGCTTGTGAGCCAGCATCTATAGGTTCTCCTTTTTGTACCAGGTTCTTTTGTACAGGCTTAGTTGTCATCCTGACATATTGTGGATGGATTAGGTGGATTTCTCTGATCCCTGTCCCACTGGTTTGGGTTTCTGGCCTGTTTTGTACTGACTGCTCTGGGTGCAGAGAGCAATGGCTCATGAATCAATAATGCCAAGGCCTCTTCTGAGCCATGAGCCAGCTACCTTGGCAGGAACAGACACTACACAGACATTCCCAGGTGAATGTCCAGTCCCTTCAGATGACGCTTGATGTCAGCTATGAAAATAGTCAAATAATGCTCCCAAAAGCCAACTGTGGCAGTTTGTGTGGTTGTGGCTCCACAAGGAACACGAGTGTCTGTAACCCCAACCCTGTTCAGGACCAGCACCAACAGTGTAAGCACATCACAGGCAGACCCCAAATGCTGCCTCAGCACCCTCTGCCCTTCCCAAGCATGTACCCAGGCCCCCACGCTGCAGGACAGTGCATAGGAAAACCTTCATTCTTGAAAGGACTAAAGCCATGCATGGAGCTCCTGGCATTTCCCATGCAGGGCTGACACTCTGCCACTGCCAGCGCCGGGATCTTTTGCTGCTGGCTTTGGTGCAGGCAGGGCTTCAACCACAATTTCTCTGGGTTAAGTTACTTCCCCTTGGTTCCTTCTCTTGAGACCCGAGTTCCCATCTCTGGCTCCAGTTTCCCATAGAGACTGTCTCAAGTACAGCCAATGTTCCATGTGGGGATCCTACATAAAATGGAAGACCAAAGTGTTCAACACTGGGATGTTGGGGCTAGGCTGCAGCCAAGAACACCTTTGGGTAACTCAGGGAAGGGCATTTCCTACAGAAGTGCTAATTGCTTCAGGCAGGGATCTTTTTAGTCCCTTTGAGTAGAAACAAGAGTGCCCCAAATCCAAGGGATTTATTTAGATGCTGCAGAATAGATCTTGGCAGTGATGTGAACTCGCCCTCCTTTGCTATTTTGGGAAAATGATTAAAAGAACACCCCCACAGCCCTGCAGGCACAGAACTCTGGGCTCTCTTACCTCTGTTTGAGGCTGCAGGTGGATGGCTCTCTGGACTCTGGAAGGCTGAAGGATGAGGTGCCTGCCTGGATCCCGACGGCTCGCTCTCCTCTGCCAAATTCTCAGTGCCATTCCTGCTGGAGTCCACTCCTAGCATGCCATGCTTTGGAGGGCTCAGCTGGAGCTGCTGCTGGACATCAGCAGTGGCTTGGAACTTAAAGAATGTCACCAAGGGGCATGACTCAAGCTGGGCCTTCTCTTCGGTGCTGGAGACAGGAAGAGGTTCGAAACACACCTTTGGTGCTGCTGACCCCGGGGGGTTCCTCGCTCTGGAAGTCTCAGCCGTGGGCCCTGCAGCAGTGAAATGACCCAGCCTCGGGATGTTCCTGCCCGGGTCCTCCAGGTTGCTGACAGGGGACTGCAGAACATAGGCACGGGCTGGAGGTGGCCCTGCCATGCTGGCAAAGGCAGATCTTTGAGGGGCTGTTGGCTGGTGAAATGCCAACTCCTGGCAGTGGAGCATCTGCAAATCCACCTGAGTAGGTGGCTCTGACACATTATTCTGGTTGATTCTGTCTCCTTGGTTGTCTTTAACTGCCACACACTGCTCTTCGTCAGAGATGATCAGTACGTCATCGTCATCTTTGAGCTTCACGTTCTGACCACCAGTTTGGAGCCCAGCGCCTGCCAAGTGCTGCTCTGCTGCAGAGCAAGGTGTCATCAGTTCCCTGGTATTCTGACTCCCTCTGGGTGATGGCTTCTTATGCCTTGCATAGGCTGTGTCAGCCTTCTGCTGAGTGACTCCTGGGGACCTGCCACATGACCCTGTGCTCCCAACATCTGCTTGACCCCTCTCAAAAGATGATGGGGTCAGCCTGAGCCTCTTTTCCCCAAAGCTATCTTCCCTTGCCGAAGCCTTGGAAAACTGGGGCCTCCTTTTCCTTCCTACAGCCTCAGTCCCTTCTCTGTCTCTGTCATGTAACTTCTCATACTGCCAGTGATAGGCATGTCCCACTCTGCACATCCACAGCATAGCATTGTCCCCGCTCAGGTGCCCCGTGTTCTGGATAAATTCCAGGGCTGGGATCTCGCTGCATATGGTCCCGTGACTGTGTGCCCAGATCACAAGTTTGGAGAGACCTGTGTGAAGGGAACTGGCTTTGCTGCACTCTCCATCACCAGAGCTCTTGTTCTGCAAAGGCATGTTGGAAAGAACATGAGTGAGAGGGGCTGTGCAGAGAAGAGCAGTCCTGGGGCTGTTTCTGTCCCTCCCCAATAGAGTGATAATTGTAGATCGGCAATTTCCTCTCATGATTCCTTTTACAAACCAATTTGTTCATTCTTTCTGCCTGTGGGATCATTTATGCCATAACAGAACACTCACCATGCTGCTGCTTTCTGTGTCGCTGAGCCTTCTCTCAGGTGGAGATCAGTAAGTGACTCTTTGAATGGCCTTTCTCTCTCAGCACCTGAAATAATTATCACATGTATGTGTCTATATACATGTATATATGTGTATATATGTGTATATATATATTAAAAAAACCCTGACCAGCAGAGGCAACTGAACTTCTCCAAGCTCAGCCCAGAACAAAGACCACTTCAGGCCCGTGCTCTCCCTGGGCTCAGCTCCCTGGGTTCCCAGGAACTCCAAACACAAAACCTGACTGGAGTAAATATTTGCAGGATCAGCCTCTGCAGCACCAACAAAACAGAAATGAAATATAAACACTGAAAATAGGATTTTACAAACTGAACTCTGTGAGTTTTTCCTTCAGCACTCTGTGGTTGGCAAGCTCTGTGTCTCCGAGCGCTGAACTGCAGAGAGAGAACCAGGAATAGCGAGGCTGGTTCCATCTGACATTCTCTGACTGTGCAAACAGTAACAAGAGGCGGTTTCCCAACTGAAGGATTTGCACATTTAACTCGTATTTATACTAGAGACTAAATCTGAAACTCTCCCATCTATTTGGAAGGCTCCATGTAGCAGCCTGGACATTCCTCCCTGTCTCTGTGTCACCCTCCGTGACTGACACCGTGTCACCCTCCACGATTGACACCGTGTCACCCTCCGTGACTGACACCGTGTCACCCTCCACGATTGACACCGTGTCACCCTCCGTGACTGACACCGTGCGCTCACAGGCCGGAGTGGAGCCTGTGCTCCAGGTGTCTCGGGCCATGATTAATTAAAAGCTTTGCAATTAGTGGAGGTAAAAGAAGCCAGGCTGAAAACACTGGACACAGGAACCATGTCTAAACTGGTTCTTTGAGCAGTTCTGGCCTAAATGTGACACAGCTCTTGGTGAGAACAGGCCCTGGCTGGTTGTCAGTGAGCACAGCCCAGCACACCTGAGCACCCACTGCCAGGTACGGCAGCTCCAGCCCCGGGGCTCCTGCTCTCCCATGAGCTGTGGAACACGGGAGAAGCCCATCCCGGCTGACAGCTGCAGGGCTGCTCTGTAATCTGTGAACGCGGTGCTTGTCCGCAGGGATTTATCTCAGGAGTGTGGGTTACACTGAAGGCAGACCTGGCAGCACTGGGGCAGGAACGGCTGTGCCGCAGGAGTGCCGGCCCCAGGGCAGAGGCTGTGCCCGGCGTCCTTGGCGCCTGGGGCCTTCAGTGCCCGCCCACCACCAGCCCAACCCACCGGCTCTCCTGTCCAAAGGGAACAGGTCACACCTCTCGCAGGTGCCCGACAGGGAATGACTGGGAAGCACAGGAACTGCTCCCTTTGGGGTGAGCCTGCCTGCAGCACAACAGCACAGCTCTCTTCTGCACTTAGGCTCCATCAGTCCATGTGTTCCTGCCTAATGATAGCATGGATAATTTTAGCCTGAATGCTTGCTTGTTGTGTGTGCCAGCATGTGGAATGTGCAAAGCCAGGATTTACAGAGCATTTTTTTACAGAAATCTACTGCTGCTTTAACCAAAAATCAGACAATAAAAGCCTGCTTGGAAGCAGCAAATGCACTTTGAGCTCCTGACGTTAATCAAGGCCTTGGATGGATCTACTGTCCCCGTGAGCTCACATCTGATGGATGCCAGCAAACAGGGCAGGGAGTCACCTCCACCAGCTGTTTTGGCTATCCTGACCCCTCACAGAAAGTGGCTCTGCCCAAGCTTCTCCCAGAGGTGTTTGACCTGTTCCCACCTCCCCAGGCCAGGGAGCTCACAGACTGTGCCTGCTGAGCCCCCAAAAGCTGCACCTAAACTCGAGGGAGAACTGTTTTCCCTCCTGAAGTCAAAGAGAGTTTTATCTTTTGAGTTCAGCCTGTGCAATTCCCTGAAAGGGCTGAGCTGCTCGGACAGACTCAAAGGAACTTCCATGCCAATAATCCAGTGCCTTCAGTCAGTGTGGGAAAAGGTAACAGGAACGGAAGCTCCACATGGTTATAAGGCCACAAAATTACTGACTTGGCAGATGAACATCTTGATCCCTATCACAGGCCTCTGCAAGTGGAATGCTTTTATCTTTCCTTATCTCCAGACACATGTCTTCCTCTTCCTGATGGCTCGGGAAAAAAACCCTTTTTTTCTCTTGCTGTTTAGTTCCCAGCACAGATTCTGGTGCTCAGCTACAGACCCTTCAGCCCACTGCAGCCCCCACACTTCCAGCAGCTGGGAGTGCCCCAAAGGAATGGCAAGTGGAATTGGCCTGGATTCACAGTCACAGCTGAGTGAGAAAAATGACCCATCCTTCCCCCAAAGGCTGAACTGGCATACTTATCTTCTCTTTAAATAATAAAAATCCATCTTGATCACTGCCACAGTTTTTACCTGCTTCCAACAACCCTGGGATGCCTGTGGGGAGGGAGTTTTGTTTTGGAGCCTTGTGCCTGGTTCAGTGTCTGCGTGGTTGGGAGCCGATGTGCTGGGTTAATTTTCCTTCCAGGAGAGGCTCCCATCTGATAATGGACACTGTGTGCAGGACCTACACCTTTCTGTCCTGAAAACAGGACATTCCAGAGCTGTACAGTAAAGGATTTAATTTTTTTTAACCCATGGGGAATTCAGTGCACTGCTAAAACATATAGTTAGACAAATTCAGGTTCACTCGAGGAAAAAAGGTGGTTTTTTTTTTTTAAATCTACAAGATTTGGCTTTCTCAGGCCCTGTTCATCTGCACAGCTTTCCAGGCCTCAGTGCTGTGGATGTAGATTTTATCTCTGTATTACAAAAAATGTGGCCAAGTAACTTCACAGGAGTCTCCAGCGTTTCAGGGGAGACTGAACTCCGGGCTGACTGAAACACGGAAATGGTCTTTTTGCTTTAAGACTTTCCTGTTTGTACTTTGAGCCTTTGGGGATGGGGGAAAGCATGCTCAGCATTTTCTAAAAATTATCCTCCTGTAAAGTCTGTCAGACACAGAATCACCTGAGAATGTCACCATCGGGATCTTCCTCTCTGTCCCTCTTGGGTGTGCCGAAGGCCCAAACCCGTGTGACACACACAGCCTTGTGCAAACAGGAGCACCAAATAAAGACACTCATTTCAAGGCACTAAAAGCCCTTTGCCCCCTCTGTCCCTGTCCCCCTGCCCTGTGACAGCCCTAGCTGGCTCCTCTCAGGGGCTCTAACGCCTGTTTTGCAGATTAGAACCCGGGACACACACTGGCACACACCAGCGAATCGGAGAGCGCTGGCTTCCCTGCTCCAGATAAGACAGCGCAGGAAACTGCAACAATCCTGGTCGGAAAACAACAGGATACAGAACAGCAGTGCTTAAACTTGACTCCTGCCCCCTTCCCTGCTCCCTCGGGAAACCCTCCCTGGAGCTGGGGGACAAACACAGGTGTGGGGCACCGCCAGAGCTGTGGCCGGCGTGGGGGCACTGCCGGGGCGTGTCGGGCAGGAAGGGCTGAAGCTGCACTCGAACACATCTGGCTGCAGGACGGAGCTGAGCGGAGCAGCAGCAGCTCGTGGCTGCCAGAAATCATGGAGCTTGTCCCACCCTCCTTAGCAGAGGCCTGGGGGGTGGATCCATCATTTTCCAGCACTTCAGTTTTCCTGTTCTCTGAGATGTTTGTTTCCCTCCTCCTCTGCCCTGTACAAGAGCATTCTCAGCACCTCTTCAGCTCTCTTCCTGCTTCCGCACATAGTTCCACCAGCCCCTCCTGCCCTGTCTGCAGAAATACAGTTCCCAGGATATATCCTGTACTGGCTACAGGGCGCCGTTCCTCCATTTTGAGAGATGCTTCCAGAAAATCCCCCCCCCGCCCTGTGTGTCTGCAGAGGGCAGGGGCTGACTGCAGGCACCGGCTCCGAGCGGGAGACAGACCCTGCTGGCAAACACTGGCCTCCAGCACCACATTCCTTAAACAACAGCTTTTTTGTTCAAAGATTCAGACACCGCTTTTCCCCGATTCCCGTCTCTGCTCCTGAGGGGCTGCGTTCTGGAGTCACTGGCCTGGGATGTGACTGTGAGCACTGCATCAAGGCCTCTGAAAAGCAATAATAAAAGCCATGGGCAACTGGTACAGCATTGCCTGGGTCACTAAGCAGGGATCAGTCACCAAACCAGCCTGAGTGACAGAAAAAAGTCATTTGAAACCATGAACTTCTATAAATAGGAGTTCAGGAGGAAGTGGGAAAGCTGAAATCAGTGACGGGCAAATGTGTGACCTGGACAGGAAACGCTGCAGCGTCGCTGACACCTTGTCAGGGCCCTGGTGGTACCTGGAGGCACCTCACACCTGTGCCAGTGCCGTGGGGACAGATGGCCAGACTGTCCTCATGATCCCACGTGCAGGCTGTGGCTCTCCCCGGGATGTTTTGCTCCCAGACAGGTGCTGGGACGAGCATGGAGCAGTTACAGGCACAGCCAGGCCGTGGGGACTGACTGTGTCCCCCGCCACTGTCGCTGTACCGTGGTCGGTGACCTCAGCCCGGGCGGCCATGCAGGAGTGTTGCTGCTTCACTCGCTGCCCCCGGGTTTGCCCCTAAGCGCCGGGCACGGGGTGATTCCGGTGTCTCCTGCTGTACGAGCTCCTTTGATCCTGCCGGTTCCGCCGCGTTTGGGTGCGCCGGGCTCGCAAATCACCCGGGATCGACGTGAAACAAGGACCCCTTTTGTTCCTGCTCCCCGCGCCCGGGGCCGGAGCCGCCGCCGCCGCCCGGTACCGGCAGGGGGCGCTCGGCACCGGCAGGGGGCGCTCGGCACCGGCAGGGGGCGCTCGGCACCGGCAGGGGGCGCTCGGCACC